TGACCTCCGCCTCACCCAAGCCTTAAAGCTTGGGGGTCAACCAATTGGGCCACAGGCCCGGTTGGCGAGTTAGTGGGCTTATTTGCTTCATTTTTAATTTAGGGTTTTAATGCTATTTTGGGGTAAATTTGAGAGCTTAAGAAGGGTTTCTGCCATGAAAATGGTGGGTTGTTGAAAACAGGAGGATAGGAAATGATGCATTGGAAAACTCAAACAAAAGAGTACTAATTACTAAAGGTTACTTGAATTTTTTTTGGTGACTTTCTGATTTGCCATGATCCAATTTTACAGTGAGCATGTAATGCAGAATGCAAACTTTTCTGTACTATCATTCACAGTAAATAAATGACATTAACAATTCAGTGACGAAATTAATGGCGTTAGGAGCTGAACTAGATGGCCCCATTAAATATGAGATCTATGGAAAGGTAGCGTCTTTATTTCTGGTGGACTTCTTCACACCCTCAATTTATGTTCACATGATAAGGACTTAAAGATATTACTCAAATTTGTGTGTGATTAGGTCGCAGCCGTGCGATGTGTTGATGGCCATATCATAGGCCTATATGAACCTGCGTGAGTCAGTTGTGGAGATGAGTTCCTTAAGCAAAATTGAGCAAGGTATCCCACAATCATTGAGGAGAGACAAGAAACCTTCAATTATTTAGAGTCTTCTGCATCTCCTAAAAGTGATAGAAAATTTGGAGCGTTGAGGTAGTGAAGCTGCTCTCTTTTGCCTGCTATTTGCCTTCGTGATAAAACATGAATTCAGTTTTCAACGTTTTTGATTTTATGCTTGATTGATTGATTGATTGAGAAATATTTGCTAGATAATGTAAGACATAAATAATGAATTTGCCATTCAGTGTGGAAACTACTGCAGCACCATTCTTTGCTAGCCAATTGAAATTTAACACCAAAAAGTAAAACGTGGCTCAAGCAGTCATTTAAATGCAGAGTTGGTGTAAGGGTCTTATCGACTATATGGGTGCTGAATATCGTCCTTGGCTTCCGTGAATGGTGCTTCTGTCTTGAATCTGGATGCCACATCCTTAGCTTATCTCTCCTTCATTTACCTGCTGAACCTGAAGACGGAGATACATATTTGCTAGAAAACAGGTCTTGGTTCAATCTCCTGAACTGAAACCTGGGATCTTGATGCAGTCTCAACATTAAAGATATTAAGTTTCTGTGCTGCAGTCCCAGATCTTGTTTTTCCATTTGGTTTAAGCGACCTTATTGGTGTGGTATAAAGAATGACAGAAAGAAGTGCATCGAGAAGTGCACCGAGAAGTGCGGGGGGTTGGCATTTGAAACACTGTAATTGTATAATTGAATTGTCTGGATTCTGGACCACTTAACCTGCTAATACGTACCTAGTACATGAAATTGAAGGGTTGAAATTCAAACCAAGTGCCCTTTTTAAATTCTTGTTTCCATGATTTGAGTTTGAATGTCTGATTATGCCCTCTGCAGCATCCCTACAACACAGCAACCCCCAATGGGGGTGTCTGTAAAGCATTTACCTATCTGACGCTTGTGGGATTTGGATTTGGAATTGTTTAAAATATCTAATTTGATCCCTTTTAAGATTTCTGCTCCTTTGAAGTATTTCAAGACTTGAGACTTTCAAATATTTTCGTTTTCTAAGGTCCTTTGATGGTGGGAATTGCCCTTTGATTGAGGACATTCTCCTCCATATACTTCCACACCGAATCATGATTATATGACAACCATGGCCAAAATACCATGGCACTTATGTTGATTTAAAAGGTGCAAGATGGTCAATCAAACACAGCCGTTGGATTTCAAAAGAGATGGACAAAACCTAGAGAAGTAAGATTATTATTATTATTATTTGGTTTAAGTACCATTTTGGTCCCTCAACTTTTCACTTTGGTACCAAAATTGTCCCTCAATTTTAAAAAGTACTAAAATTATCCTCAAACTTTCATTTTCGGTACCAAAATGGTCCTTCCGTCAGTTAAATGACAGGTGGCACGTTAAAATGCCAGCAAATCAATTGTTTTTTTCTTAACTAATGACATGGAAAAAAAAATATAGTTGGATATGTTTTATTATGAGGTGGCATTTTTTACTGTAGCATTTTCTTCACACGTCAGATTATCATTTTCTTAGTTTCTCCTTTTAATGGGACCCACATAAAATTTTTTTTCTCTTTTTCCAGTTTCAATCAAACTCCCCAAAAATCAGTTTTCTTCGTTTCTCCTTTCATCTTCTTTTCAAATTAAAAACCCTAAAAACCAATTAGATCATCCTTCTTATTCTTTCTCTCCAAAATCAAAATCAAAATCAAAGTCTCTCTTCTCCCTTCTTCCTCTCCAGATCTGGGTTTTCAAACCCAGATCTGGGTTTTCTTAGGTTGTTGAACCGGCCTTTCGCTCGTCGCCGTCACAGCCGTTCCCTTCTTCCTCTCCAAATCTGGGTTTTCAAACCCAGATCTGGGTTTTCTTAGGTTTGTTGAACCAGCCTTTCGCTCGTCGCCGTCACAGCCATTGCGATCGCCTCCACCATCACCCACATCGCCTCACAGCCGTTGCGATCCCATCATTCCTTGCTTCCTGATTCATCTTTCTTTGTCCTCAGATTGTGTTAGGAAATTAAATTTATTTTTTTAATCTATTGTTTCTGTCTGTAAATTCATATCTGTTTTCTTCTTCTTCAATCATGGGTGTCGCCGTTCTGAATCCGGAAGATTGTCTCAAACATCATTTCTCAAAGCAAACTCTAATTTCTCCGACGAAGTGGAACCACCCCAAAAACCCTACATCTAATCGGACTAACAAGTCCCCGCCTAACTGGAGGAAACGTTCTCCGAACACCTCGCCGCCGTTGAGGGCCATCGTGGACTCAACTGAACTCAACTACGCAACCTCAATCGCGGGATTTACAATAGCTTCCATTGTATAGCGTTATTTAGATTCGATTATGGTTGTTTTCCCGGTGGGATTAGTGTCTGTTGTTATGTTTCAGTAATCTTCGTCAACAAAGTCTCCGGTGGAAGTGATTTCTGGTGGTTCTATAGCAAATAATTTAGTTTGATTATCATTAGGTGTTTGTTACTGTTTAATGGACTCTGGTCAGTAATTGCTTTTCTCTTTGTTTTGTTTTGGGGGGTTCCTTTCAGTATTTATCATTAGTCTCCGGTGGGATTAGTGTCTGTTGTTTTGTTTTGCTTTTCTCTTTGTTTTGTTTTGCTTTTCTCTTTGTTTTGTTTTGGGGGGTTCCTTTTAGTTTGATTATCTTTGTTTTGTTTAATGGACAAAGAAAGATGAATCAGGGAGGTATCGGAGATTTTGGGTGTTGTGTTGATTGGATTGTAATGGGAGGTATCGGAGTTTTTGTGGTGGGTTTGCATGCGAAAGGAAAGATGGGATTTGACAATGATTTATACGATTTTGGGACATTTTTCTTTCTCTTTGATTTTACAGGAAATGGGTATTGAAGAATGGGATTTTGAGATTTTAGCTCAGGAGAGCTTTGCTTTTATTGTAGATGTGTTTTGAGAAAAACCCAGGTCTGGGTCCTTCTGCTACTACTGCTGTCG